AAAAAAAAAAAAATAAACTCCACAGGAAGCTGTGACGTGTGCCTGCACTGCGAGTTACCTGGGAGGCCCAGGCAGGAGGCTCTCAATGTAGAGGCCAGCAAGGGCAACATAGCAAGACCCTGTACACTCTAAAAAATAAATAAAAATGGGGAACCAGCAGTTAGCGTAATGGCTATGTCACTGGACTCCCACGTAGTCGACCATGGTTCGCGTCCTGGACCCGGTGGCTTAGAACTCACACCAGGCACGTGTGCGTGCGTGCCCAAGATCCTGAGAGGAGAACGGAGGAGAAGGGATTGTGGCATGGCCATCCCCCCTGGGGGGTGATTTCTCGCTTTCTGTCTGTCTGTCTCTGTCTGTCTGGAGAGAGCACGCGCCCTATAGCGAAAACCTCTCAAAAAGACAGAGAGTGAGTAAAAAGTCAAATAAGAGGAGCTCACCACATAGTGATAGTGGTGGACTGAGGAGCGTTTACCCATTAGAGGGGCTGCTTTCCTTTTCATCCGATAGTACTGATGTGGAGAGCATGCGTAGTTCCAGGTCACCACATCTTCCTACCTGAGGAGAGTCAGGCACTTACATAACTCAGCTGGATTGCATCTGGCCTCATGCAGCCTCTGACCAAAGCCTCTCACGTGGGGCTGATGACCCACGGGTGAGCCCAGTGGTATATAGAGAGACCCTTGTGGGCAGCCAATAGCCCAAGACCAACTACAGAACAGGGCAGTGATTTTAGTAAATACAATTTTTTTAAAACTGCAGCTATTTTAAATTCAAGTATTGATAGAAATTCAGTTACAAGTATTCTAACCCTGTTTTTAAAAAGTCAGAAGTATGCTATTTTTCATCAGCTTACTGGCGTGTAATAGTAGCAAAGAATACAGGTGCTAGAAAACCGATCACGTCGGAGAGCAGCCAGATTCCAAGGCTAGCCCATTTCCCTGAGCCTTCCAATAGAGAATAACATTTTTAAAGTACACTCGGAGAAGTAAATCTGAAATGTCCTATGTTTTGTCATGACTGCTTCCTGTATAAATTCCAAGGAGGACACTGGGAATTAGGACAAGTTTTGTTTTACCAAGTTTTAGCTCCTCCTCCATGAAGTGAGACTATTCATAAAGATCTCCCAGGTAGAATAGGAAAAATGTATTTGTGTAAGGATAATCTTGCCACTATCTTAGAGTCTTTGAGGAAGTTCAGTGTTTGTTGAATTTAAGAGAGAATTTTGATATAGGATGTGTGCACTTGCCAGAGAGACAGAGAGTGAGAAATCACCCCAGGGGAGAGGGCCATGCCGCAATCTCTTCTCCTCCATTCTCCTCTCAAGATTTTGGGCATGCACGCACACGTGCCTGGTGTGAGTTTGAAGCTGCCAGGTTTGGGGCTTGAACGGCGGTTGACTACATGGGAGTCCAGTGACGTAACCATTACGCTATCTGCTGGTGCCAAGTGTTTGTTCAATTTAATGTATGAACATTTTGTAGCACAGGTATACATAGTTTGGACATGAGATAATTCTAGGTAAATTACTGGTTCCTTTAGAGAGACCTGGGCTGTGTGTCCCCAGTCCTAGGTGAGCATGTTTTAAGATGTAAGAGTCAAAAATGTCTCAGGGGCTGAGACAAAGAACCTAGTGCTGATATGACTCCCTTGGTATCTTTGTTTCAAAATCTGTAACAAGGCAGAAAATTCTCCTACTTCTGAGCAGGAAAGAAACAGGGACAATAGCATTACAAAGCTTCTCAAAGATAGCCTCATTTCAGGGCGTACTTGTGAACTAGGTAAAAAGCACACTTTGAAGCAATAATGTATAAAATGGCACCTTTGAGGTCTACCATTTTCCCAAATGGACCATTTATTTCCTAGAAGTAGTTTACTCCCTAGAAATGTAGCTCAAGGTGAAGTCGTGTCATTGTTACTTAATCTTATTTGGGGTACAAGACCAGATGTGTAAGCTAAAAGACCTAAGTCATTGTTTCATGTACCATAAAAATCTCTTTACGTTTTTCCCCCCTTAGCTCTCTCTTCTCTCCTAATGGAAGGTCTTATACTAAAGCAGCGAAATATGGATAAAACATTATGAATATGCCTTCACTTAGCTGAAACTCTTTAGATTTTAAATTCTCTGTAATGCTACGTAGGTTTGGAATAAGAAAGAAACTAGCAACCCAAATTTACTTCCCAGCCATTGCCATAGAGTTCACATCCCCAAAGTTAAGTGTTACTTTTTAAATGAGGTGTTTATCATATTTACATTTAAAACGTGCAAGTCTCGGATGTTGATACAAAGTCTTCAGACGTAAAATAATCACAAAACTGGGGCCAGCAATTAGCGTAATGGCTATGTCGCTGGACTCCCATGTAGTCGACCGCAGTTCGCGTCCCGGACCAGGTGGCTTAAAACTCATGCCGGGTGCGTGTGTGTGCGTGCCCATCCCCCCGGGGGGTGATTTCTCACTTTCTGTCTCTCTGTCTGTCTCTGTCTGGCGAGCGCACGCGCCCTATAGCAAAAACCTCTTAAAAAAAAAAAAAAGGAAAAAAAAAATCACAAAACGTATATGCCATCACCAGAATGAGTTTTTACTTAATAGAATAATAACAAATTGGTAAGCCTCTATTTGGTCAAATTTAAACAAAATGTAGCAAACAAATGGATATTACCTATTTCTTCTGCAAGAATAAAATCGAATCATTGCTCATGCTATAAACAACATTATAGAATTCACTTCCACCCCCACCCTATAATCGCGAAAGGGTAGGAGTAATTAACAGTGCAGAAAGTATGGTTTTTGGCATTTGTTATATAAAATCCATCCCACAGCATTACAGTATATGTGTTTTAATAACATTATGCATTTAAAATCTGGGTCAGTCGCTCTTCATCTGTTTGATACGTTTTCGCATGGCAGCATCTAAGAATACATGGAGACGCGTCTGCTGCAAATCATTAAAGCAAGAAAAAAATGACTCAGATTTTACTTACACTTAAATAAGATGGAAAACACACAAGAAAGGAGAAAAGCTGAGGTAAGAAATCATGTACAACCTAATAATTAAACATGTAAAAACTCCCGTCCAGCAGTTAACGAAATAGTCTGTCATAATTAGCATAGATCGGATCTAAGACCACCCTTGAATGAGACAGACGGTTTTATATTTTAAATAATTTACCAGTAAGAGTACCCATAGCCATAAAATCCTAGCAAGATGTATTTCTTCTGTGACCATGTCATGACAGAGCTTTGGTTATTAAATATTGGGATCGATATGTCCCCTTAGCATTCAGTAAAATGAACTGAAGTTAAAATGCCCCCATTTTATTTCCCAAACCGGACAATAGATCTTAAAATGCACAGATTGCACATTATAAACAAAACTACACATATACATAAACTAACTCAACTAAGTCCTCCTATTCGTCAAGGTACATGAAATCTGTGTTCTTCATAAGGTAGTCTACATCTGCAAATTTGTTTTGCCAAAAGCTTTTGTTATTTAGATCCCTTTCAAACCACTTTAATTTGAAGGCTAAAGGGAAAATTCAAAATAAAAGAATAGAATGAGGACCCTTCGAAACGCAGAAAGAAATCGAAACTCAGACATTTCTTATTGGTGATCCATGTTGACATCAGCTGTTTCTCCAGGATTTTCTCAGAGGTATGTTCCTTTGGAATCCAGAAAGGATGTCAATCATGTGGCAGCCTGTGGTTAAAATTCAATGTAATAAAATCACAAAGCAGAGAGGGCTGGGACAGTTCAGTGAGTGCCACTTCTCACAGTACACATGGAGAAAGGTGACGTTGCTAGAATCCAAGACAATTTCCCACCAAGTGGGGAGGATGTTGATCCACTCAAGAGAGCTCTCCATCCTGTCGTCCCTCTAGGATGAAAACACACCTCTCTTTGCTACCGTGTTACCTAAAAACAAAGTAAAGAAGTGAGCTTTCAACACCCCATACCCTCCAAAGATACCCCATCCTGCTATGAGCAGTCCCCGAGTCATTTGGTCATTTGTGTATACTTTATCAGCTTGTACTTGTATCTGTAATTAACCTCACCAAATCAACTGTTAAAATCAAATTCTTCTGTACATTGCCTTTAGGCTAAAAACAAACAAACAAAAACATACAAAGGCTTCTTTACCAGGGCTTTGTATACTCTGGCTTTGTACTTTTTGAGGTTCTAAAAATCCCATCTGATTAGGTACACTGATGGCCCGTCCATTCCTACGTGCTGAGCATGCTTTTAATGGTGCTAAAAGTTTTTTAAAAATGAATGCTGATTAAAATCAGTGTACATCAAGATTAAAATGTTCCCTTTGTTACTTTTTTAATGCAGTTAACTTCCACCATTAAAATATAGATTAGTTTATAAAACTGCGATATTTACTGGAAATATATGTTCATGAAGAAGGTGGTAGCTGTATTTTTCATTTTTTATGAGCTAAGCATACAGAACAGCAGTTTGTGTAATTTGATATGGTCACATAAGACATTTTACAGGTTATATACTTGTTAAATTATCCCAGCTCTGCAAAGAAAAAAGCATAATACTTTAATATGCCTATACAATGAAAGTATTTTCAAAGTAAACTGTATTATTTTATAGCAGTTATCATGCCTGGTTTTTGAACCCAATCAGATTTATTCAAATCTCAGCTTCACTATTAACTAACATATCACATGATCTGTATTTATAGATTTAACAATATAAACACTATGGTTTAGAGAGACATACTAAAGCAGACAAACAAAGAAAACCCTGTTCTCTTAGAGCTTACATTCTAGAAGGGGCAGGGAAGCCTTTTCTGTAAGGAAGTAGATACAAGAAATACTTTTAGCTTTGCAGATTGTGTAGTCACTGCAGCAACTACACAACTCTGCCTTTATTTCACGTACCAAAGCAGCCACAGAGAGTAGGTAAACTGGGAGGTACTCTGTTGTTCCAGTGAATGTTTTATAGACACTGAAGTTTGAATTTCATATTTTGATGTGTTATTCTTTTGATACTCCATTCTTAGCTCACAGGCTTTGATCTGTGAGCCAGTTCACTGATTCCTATTCCAGAGGAAGCATTAAGACAAATACATAAAAAAAGTGGGTCAGGGCTGGCAGGTGGTTTAGTGGTTAAGTCACTGGACTCCCACATGGCCAACAGTGGTTCGAGTCCCATACCTGGTGACTTGAAACTCACACCAGGTACGTATGTATGTGTGCCCAAGATCCCAGGAGGACAATGGAGAAGAGATTGCAGCATGGTTCCCCCCCATGAGGGTGATTTCTCACTTTCCTTCTCACTGTCTCTCTCTCTCTGGTGACTGCATGCAACCTATGGAAAAACCTTTAAAAAAAAAAAAAGTGTCTGAAGGTAGTGCGTGCAGTGGAGGAAGTAAAGCAGTACCACTGAGAAGAGAACGGGGGAGGAAGAAAACAGGGCTGCTATTCTGTAGTAGATGGTCAAGGAAGAAGATATTTGAAGGGAAAAGAAAAGTGAGGAAAGTGAGGAAGGTCTGACCACCTGGGGAAAGATCTTTATTGGTACAGGCAGAGGTAGGTGCAGGTCAGTTCAAGGACTTCGGCCTCTGTCTGAAGGAGGTCCAGAGATGAGGTGAAGAATGTAAGGCTGTCTAGATCAGAGATCAGTTTGGCCAAAGTGATGAAGGGGAAGCCAGCAGGACCTGTGACTGTAGGAAGAGGGCATGAGTAAAAGAGGAATCCAGGGAGCCAGCCCCATGGCATGATGGTTTAGGCAGCTGGACCCCAGGTGGCTGAGTGCATGGTTCAATTCCTGAACCTGGTGTCTTAAGAAATGTGCTAGATGAGCGCGTGTACATGCCCAAAACCCCAGAAGGAGGGAGAAATGGAAAAGAAGGGATTATGGCTAGACCATTCCCCATGGGGGTGCGGGGGAGATACTTTCTCTTCTCTCTCTCTCTGAAAATATCTAATAATCCAGGACAGCTCCAAGTCTTCAGCTTGAGCAACTAGGTGATGGAGCTGGCACAGGGTGAGATGAAGTAGACTAGACTCCCATGGCCTTAGTGTCTGCCTCCATACAGTAGAGATAACACACCTACCCCCCTGTAGCAAAGAGTGAACGAACGGTGTGAATTGAATTTTGCAAGGCTCAGTGCCCATCCCGTGGTCAGCACTTGGGAAATGGTGGCTACTGTCATGATATATCATCTTTCTGGATCTATCAACGTTTAACCTGAACACATTTATAGCACAGTATCAATCTACATTGAGGATGTGATTTTCAAAAGCATCTTATTTGAGGTAGCCCATGCCCAGCTCATTTGGGACAAGAACACTAAAAGATGCATTGTTTTCCTTTACATTATTATTGCACTAATCACAAACAGGAGACTGATGCTGGGTCACTAAAATGCCCACACCCACTTCCTCCCAGGCATCAGGGTACCTAAACATCACCAGCTCCAATTAAACGTATTGGGGAAGCTAAGACTCCAGGGAGAAAAATCATCTCAGCTCGACCTTGACAGAGAGCAGATTTTTAGAAGGAGAAGCAGTTATTGGCTCGGGTCATATGTGCCTATAGAGTGAGTGGTAGAGAAGCCCATTCAAGGTTCTTACACTGTATTTTGTACCAGTGTGGACCGAACGGCTTAAGAAACATGCCTGGTGCATGTGTGTGTGTGTGCCCCAAATCCCAAACACAGAGAGGTTAACAAGGGCCTGGGGTGCCACCATGTCCCATGGAAAACACAGAGAGGTGGACAAGGGCCTGGGGTGCCACCATGTCCCATGGTGGGTTTTTTCTTGCTTTCCCTCTGTCTCTCCAGCAAACAAACACACTCTCTTGCAAGATTTTAAACTAAGTTTTCCAACATTCACTGTGATTTACTTGTTTTTACAAACTACAATAAAAAAAACCTGGAAAGTGTACCATAGATGTGTTAGAAGCCTATTAACACTGATAACTTCAAAGAGGGAAGAACCTCTTAGCAAAGAGACTGCAAAAAAAAATTAAATTAAATTTAAGAAAAGGAAAACGGAGAAAGGATGACAGAGAGAGTTGTATTTTCCCACAAGGCGCAGTAGCTGCACCCTCTCTGGAGACACCAGAAACTACAGAGGCAGAATGAACTAGTGCTCGTCTGTACTTGCTGAAAAAGATGACTGGCTAGGGAATTGTCCCCTCTCTTATTTTCATTTCTTCATCTAACACTATTAATATCTCAAGTGGAATGCTAACTCTTTTCATATTTGCATTTAAATGGAAAATAAAATTCTGACATAGGCGGCTTACTGCAGACAATCTTACATTTTTACCTTTCTGCATTTTGAGGCTGCTGTGCATGAACCGTTTTAAGGAGAGTAGAAACTATTGTGGTACAGTGTTAATACCCCCTCCGGGGAGGCAACTGCGCTGCCTTTACAGGAATGCTGTCTCACCTGTGGTGTAAGGTCAGCAGCAATGTGAAAAAAACGATAGAGCATCTGGGGGCACCAAGCTAGCAAATGCACGCCAGTCCCAGTTCCTCAAATGAATTTACACTATGTGCATAAGATCCATAAAAGACATAAAATGTTTTATGCAGTTCAAGTTGCACTGACTTGGATTAAAAAAGGAAACAAAGTTTTACAACTTTAAGATTATTCTCAAGTGGCATATTACTGAAAAAAAAAAAAAAAGCAGCCCAAGTATCATGATGGCTGGGGGAACTGTATTATGTTTCTTCAACTTTTCAAAGTGCTAAATGAAATGTCAGTACCATGGAGGATTTGGCTAGAGCAAACTTATATTCCCAGCACACAGAGCCAAAATGCCCCTAAAGGTTTGCTTCCTGCAAATGACCTCTCTAACTGCACGTAAACGGAGACAGCGCTTGCACCACAGTAACTAAATAACAACTTGGACACATTCTTTTCCAAAATACAGTTGGCTTCTGCTCATGGTCTTATTTTATACTATATGTAGAAATCAATACGAATATGATTTTCTAAAATGTTACTCCTTAATCTATAAGAAGTACAATGAAAGAAAACATTTATCACTAGTAGAGATAAGACCCTAACTCATTGGTAACTGCCAGATTTTTATTTAGGACGAAGCTAGAAGGCAGCAACCTACCAGCCCAGATGACGTTGAAGAGCAGATAGGGGCTGTAAGTACAATGATGCTGAGTCACACAGATTTGGTAGTGAAAAATCCAAGGACAATGTAAACTAGACATGAGGTAAGAAAGCAGGTTTCTGCCGGAAGAAGTAGGTAGACACTAGCACCCTTCAGAGATAGGAAGAACTAGAAAGAAGACCATGTGAAGAGCTGACATGTAGATACGAGTCTTCAGCCATTAATTCTCCTTTAAGGCAATTGATGTTTCTACTTTAATAAATCATCTGTATGTGGATTCTTGTCATGGTGTTTTTATATACTGGCCTGGCAAGTATAAAACTGTTACTCTGAATCAAGCACATGAAGGAGTTTAAATGAATTGAGTGGTCCTAGCTAGAATAGTAAGTTCATCCAGCAAATCAATGTTCTACAAAATCTGACACCAAGAGGGATGCTGGGAAATGGGCTCTTCCAAAAGACCAAAGCCATGGAGTAGCACTGTCCAAGCAGGTACATCAGCATAACATAAGGTTGTTCTCTTGATGGCAGGATAAAACGAAGGGGAAGCCCCATGGACAACAGTGTACTACTGAAGGTATAAATTACGGTGTGTTTTGTCTATACTTGCCTTTGTAGTTTTGACTTTATTGCCACTGCTACAGGACCAACCTGAGTAATCTGGCAGCACTTTGCAATCCTCTCCTTCCAAACAAGGGTTCATATGACACCACCATTTCTGAATGACGATGGAAGCTGGAAAAGAAAGACCAAATGATATTTGGCACACACAGTTGCTTCTTCCAAATATATGCAAAAAAGATAGCTCAATATGAATTCATGTATGGGCCTCCAAAATTGCTAATAAGAATTATTTCACCATAAGCAAATTTAAAGATTCTAATCAGCCATGTGCTATACCAAATAAAGTACTTTCCACAGTTGGCTACCCAGTGGTAATATAGTGATTGAATTCTGAGACTTTACAGTGAGCCTGCCTGGGTATGAATCTGGTTGTGCCACTTTCAAGGTCTACAAATGATTTTGGACTATTTAACTAACTTCTCTTAGCCTCAGTTTCTATATTTGGAAAACAGGAATAAAAATAGAGTCTTTCCCCAGATGGTAAAAGTAACTGGTGTGAAAGTCTCTGTTGACTTTGGTCCAGTTACTGTGATCTCAGCAAATGTTAGCTTCCGGTAGGGTCATGACCTTTGGTTGCAGGTTACAATGGTGGATGGTGATACTGCAGCATTGTAATGTTTGATGTTCTTTGTTGTCAATAGCAAATACTAAAACCAGGATATATTTCCATCATACATATAGTGCTCATCTCTCCATTACAATTCATTCATTGGTGAGTAACCACTTACGGTCAATTATTAGAAGCCAATTAAAGGTAAGAGAGCCTGGCAATCCCTCTCATTTGTACACATGAATATTCTGGGTGTGCACATTGATGCTAAAATAGTGGAAGACACTCCGTCCTAGAAAGATATTCCCACAAATTCAGAAAAAAGAGATTGTGATTGATTTTTAAAAGTGAACGCATCCAAGGGGCTGATATAAGACAAGGCTCTGCGGGATGAAGACATGTTGAAAAGAGAGGAATTACTCCTGTTTTTCTTGTTGAAATGGCCATAGTTCCATGGAAAATATCCTCCCATGCCTGTATTGTTTTTTTCCTTTGCATGGCGAGGAACTTATTCTGTTTATTTCCCAAATCAATTACCCATAAATTTCCTTTCCTACTGTTTTAGGATATTTAAGTGACAAATTTAAGAAGTCATTGCCTGTCTCAGTGTCTCCAAGTTTT